GGGGGGTCGGGGGGTGGAGAACCCCATAAATTTCCCCACTTGACCACAAAACCTCGTTATAATACAGATAATGATTAAAAATTGTTAAAAATATTGATTATCGTTGAGTAATTGGGGTGGTTTTAATTGTGTCCCCCCAAAAAATAAATCAGCGCTTCTGAGAAATATCCCATCTCTTGCAGGGGAAAAAACCCCAAAACAACAAAAAAAACCCCCATGGGGTGGAGAAAGATGGGGTGACCCCCTCTCCCTCCTCCCCATCCCCTAAATTGACAATAAATTAATTAAGTAGGAAAATAAATGGGGAGTTAAGAAAGGTGGGACAAAACCTGAGGATGTGCCTCTGTTCCTCACCTCCCCCCCCTTCTCTTTTTGAGGGCATTCTGGCAGTTTTCAGGGGGCAACTGAGGTGGGGGGTGTCCTACTGGAAATTTGGGGGGTTGGGGATGATTCGTATCCCGCCAGGTGTGGGATATCTCATGTGCAAGAACTTCTGCTGTGTCAAAGGCCACCCCATGGTGTCTAAGCTGGTGGACCACAGACATACGGTATCTCAGGGGCATCTTTGAACAGCAGGAGCACCTTGAAAAGGCTGCCCAGAGAGGTGGTGGAGTCTCCTTCTCTGGAGACATTCCACACCCACCTGGACACGTTCCTGTGCAACCTGCTCTGGGTGGACCTGCTTTGGCAGGGGGTTGGACTAGATGATCTCCAGAGGTCCCTTCCAACCCTAAGTGATTCTGTGAAAGCATCATTCTTGGGGTCTACTGGTTTGTGGCGGAGGTAAGTCCCCACAACGGGGATGTCTCTGCTACTCAAACAGTGACTCCAGTAGGGAAATGGCAGATGCCCAAAGCCCAGCCACCTCACTGGATGCTGAAGAGTCTTAAGAGTCATAAAATCATAGAATTGCCCGGGTTGGGAGGGACCTTTCAGATCATCAAATCCAACCATCAAGTCAACACTGATAAAACCCATCACTAAACCATCTCTAAGCACCACATCTGCCCAGCTTTTAAATGCCTCCAGGGATGGCGATTCCACCAAAGCCCTGGTGAGCTGTCTCACAAGGTCCAGGTGTTCCAGTCTGGATCCAGCACTCCACGGACACTGCTCAGACAAGACGTTATGGTCCGAGGCTGCAGCAACAGTTATGGGTCCCTCACCTATCTTCATGCCGTTCCACAGACTCAGCATGAAGCAAAGACATTACAGATGGTGAGCAGAGGAGGGCTGAGGAGTGGACAAGCCCAGTGGGAGGTTCTTGGGGTGAATGTGGACACCACAATCTCCCCGTGCTCCATCAATCCTCCCTCTTCCCTTCACCAACTGCATACTTCCAAGCTCCTACAGCAGGACCTTCGAGCAGTGTTTCTTGTTACAGCACCAGCTCCAAACCCTGCCTTTGCTCAGGCAGATGATGGCTCACCATCAGCTGCCCATAAATTTGTCACTTCTCCTCTACAGCAAGGAATGATACCTGAGCATAAAAAGGCACAACGTGATCCAGGCATCTCCTCAGCAGGAACGCAGGCGCCTGCAAAGCCTTCCTGCCTCTCCCTCCCCCATTTAATATTGGCTTCCCAGAAATGATAAAGTCAGGAAATTAATATCCTCTCCAAACCTTCACAGAGGCCAAAAAAGCTGCATCAAACCCTGGCATGAAGGCCACGGTCGAAAGCTCTGCTGATCGAAGGAGCTAGAGTTTTCTACAGCTGGTGAGAAGCCCATGGGGTAATGACAAACACCTGGCTGGGGAGTGCAGAGGAGACTCCTCTCCCCTGGGAAGGGGAGGTTGGCACGGGTTGTCCGCTTTCCACCCCAAGCGACAGGTTCTCCACACACCTTCTGTAGCACACAGGACCGAGGAGACACAGCCCGCACAGCTACCCGGGGGGAGAGGTCAAGAAAGATAAAAACCAGACGCCGTGTAAACAACTAGCAGCAAAGTAGAAAACATCACAGTAGGGGCACCCTAAAAATCTTCATAGAGTGAGATGGTTTTGTGCACGTGATGGACGTGATCCTACCCTCTGCGCAAGAAACGCCCCAAGGAAAACTTCTAACACCAACATTTCTCTGTCTAATCTGCATTTTCTAGGGGCTCTAATCAAGGTGACGGCAGTCAGGTGTCCACCAACACCTCGGAACATTTCTTGTTGACTTTTGAGCCGTAACATGAGACAGAGCAAGCTGGCCATTTATTTCTGTGGCCCAAACAAACGCAGCAGCTGGTCCATGCTAACGCCCAGGACCTGCAGTCAGCCTTTAACATCAGCAGTTCTGGCAATAGCTGAGCAGAAGACACACAGGGTTTCCTCCACTTCATGGCTTTCAAGCAGGTCTCAGAGGAGAAACTTAGGGGTCAGCAGGTGGGGGCATCTGAGCCACCCATCAGGGGAGGTCCCAGGCTGCTCCAGGGCACCTTAGATTAAGATTAGATTAAGATTACCAGGTGCTTTAGGTACAACTCTGGAAGATCTGAGCCGAGACCTGCACAGAGGAGAGAGGAACAGACAGTTCCCCCCTTCAAATATGTAAAGGAAGAACAAGCATCAGCTGCACCGAGGAAGATTTAGGTTTCAGACAAGCTTTTCTAGCGGTCAAACAAGAAAGCCCTAGAGCAGATTGCCATGAAGAACCAAGGGCATTTCCATCCCTGTAGTTTTTTTCAGAGGAATGTAGACAAATACCCACTACCACTAACAACTTTGAATTTTTTCTGCGTAAGGTCGCCACATTCTGTGACTCTGTCAGACAAAGACAAATGGTTATTTTAAAAGGAAAGGCTGATCCCCACCTGTGCTTCAGAAGAACTCCCAACACCTATGAGATAAGAGTGCTAGACACTCCTTTCTTCTCTCTAGAGAAGGTCCTGGCAGTGTTACTTTCTGAGGATAAAAAGTTTGCAAGGGTGGGTCAACATCTTCCCTGAGCAGCATCATGGACCAGCAGAGCAAGCACTGCCCGTGTCAGCAGCGTGGAGATTTGGGCTGCCATCCACCAG